GCGGGGGGGGGGTACCAGGTATCTGACAAGCATAGAAATATGCGGATGCCAAAGCTTCTTCAGCCGCCTCAGCGCTTAAACAGATCGCTTGAATTGAGGGCTTTTATGGGTAAGTATTAAAATGGCCCTTTACCCCCTTTCACTACAAATCATGAACTCATCTTACATTCAATAGTTAAGCAAACAGTTTCATTTTAGTTACACTTCCTGGTCCTCTTTGGCACAGAACGATGTAATGTGCCCAAGCGTTGCATCCTGGGAAGGTGACATCAGCAGTGGATTGCTGGGAAATCTCATGAGATCTCGGGGGAAAGCCATTTTCCCCCCCTGAGATGTAGTGCGTGGTCACATGTCACAGAGTTCCAGGAAGTAAAGGGAGATGGATTCATCTGCCCTTAGTAAAAATGGCTGCCATGAGAAGAATGGGGAGGAAAAGAGAAATAACGAATACAAAGCCGGCAATTATCTAGAAGTATCTGTGTGCAGATTGTCATTACTAAACATTTCTAACATGTGTGTGTTGTCATTTCAAAGATATGGGTAACCTCTTTAAGTCTTGTATTGTGTTGACTCAAATTCAGGCACTAAGGTTAAAAGGAAGTCCATCATGATAAACAGGCATGCTGCCATTGCTGACCTCTCCTCCTGGAAATGCAGGTTGCCTGACCCTCATAAGTACTTTGAAACCCCGTTCAGGAACAACTATACAGATCAGGATCTCCGACTTTCTCGGCCTGTGTGCTTGTTCCGGGTCTTACAAAATCGTTCAACCAGCTGGTCAGCCTGGAAACTCTTTTAAAGTGCGGGCGGCTTCCATATTTCTCTTGGGACAGGCGTATGCAATGTGGGGTCTCCACCATGATGTCTTTAGAAATGAATGTTTAGCAAAAGTTTAAATCAAAATAGAATATCTACAAAGAGTCAACAAACCTAAACATCGAAGTTATGGATCAGAACTTGACATTCTCTCTTCTGTTTGTTTTCCAGGTTCTGATGGATGGTCGAGATTAGCGGTGGTCTTGTCTTCACAACATCCAGTGATTGGCTTACTGGGACCTCTGAGGAGGACTTACCTGAGGACATCTTCATAAACGTAGTTGGAATTACTGAACTAGCAGAAGGGATTTCTTACAGAGAATTGTGTTTACCGCCAAGATGCCGATTCTAAAGCAAATGGTGGCCAACCCCAATGCATCCAAGAGGCGCTCACGGGCTGACCTCACAGCAGAAATGATCAGCGCCCCCTTAGGGGATTTCCGGCACACCATGCACATAGGTAGGGCCGGAGATGCCTTCGGAGACACTTCTTTCTTGAGCAAACCGGAGGATCAGCAAGAACCAGAAGAATCCACTTCCAAGCCGGGGCTGCTGTCTCGAACCTTCCGCAACAGCAAGCGTTCCCTTTCGGTGACGAGAGGCGATCGCAGGGACATGCTGGGGTCACTGAGGGACTCGGCCCTCTTTGTGAAGAACGCCGTCTCTTTGCCTCAGCTGACCGAAAAGGAAGCGGAGAAAAGTTCAAGCAAAAAGATGCCCAAGAGTTTGTCTTCCAGCCCAGTCAAGAAGGTTCCCGAAGAGCAACAGTACATGAACGGGGCATCCTCTCGAAGCCCCGCACCCGTTCCGGACCTTGTTCAGGCAGAGAAGGAGTTCGGCGATCTAACAGACTTGCCGGATTCGGCTCCCAAAAGCAGCTACGGCATGAAACATGCAGAGTCCATCATGTCCTTCCATATCGACTTGGGTCCATCCATGTTGGGCGATATACTGAGCATCATGGACAGCAGTCAGTGGGAGCAGGATCTTGACCTGAGTATTGACAAGCTGGATGGAAATGGAGCAAACAGCCAACGTTCTGTGCCTTCCAAGCAGACAGGACCTTCGGCAATTATTCCCTCAACAAAAGCCGATCATGGAAGCCTTCCCGCACCAAGCAAAAACCACCAACAAGTTCAGCCAACCAAAGAACACCATTCAGTTTCCAGAGGTTCCTCAGGAGCCCCAGAGGGGAAACCAAAAAAAGGAAGAGACTTGTCCTTCATGGACGAGGAGGAGGAGGACGACGAGATAAGGGTGTAGGAATAAGAAGACTTTTAGTTTTAATACAGTTGACAAGCTAACCAGGAGCAGGTCACAGCTGGCTTATCCACGTTTTGATTTGCGCTCAAGGCGCTGGGGAGGATTCTTTCAGGAACCACCCCTTTCTTCGTGGAGGTCTACAGTCGCTCTTTTTTTAGGAGTTCTGTTGGCATTGTACAAAACAAAAAGCAATAACAGCCAACGTCTGATAGAAAAACAAAAACAGTAGAGCGCCTTGCTTCCAAGACCCAAAAGACGCCAACGTTTGATCAATCGGGTTACTAGTAAGAGCCAATCGAACACAATGAGGAACTTTCCCGGAAACACTACGAACATTCCGATGGAAAACCTCAACACGCAAAAGGAAAATCTAAAAAACACACAAGACTTTGATTTTGTAACCGCTAAAGGATCCAAAAATCTAGAACTACGGGAACTTATCACTACAACTAACTTTTAATTTTCTTTTACCCAGAATTGAATTCTGTGGCTGCCTATTTTTTAATTTTTTTTATCCGGAACTTCCAGTCTTTTGCCGTTCCTACCCAAGTTTTTTTTAGTATGTTCCACCTCCCAGATAGCGAGGATAGCTTGCCACAAACTTGTGTCAGGGTTAAATTTGTAATTCTTGTTAACTTGCTGCGCACATTCCTGGCAGGTTGTAGACTCGCAGAACACTCGCGGCGGCACAAGTTCTAGGCGACACTTTTTGAATTTGTAGCGAATTTGCTCGGCGAGTCTACAGCAAAGAGTCCTGCAGTTCTTAGCGAGAGCTCTGCGAGTGTGCAGGATTTCTGCAAAGCGCGTTGATCTGGAGACTTGCTGTAATTGTGCAACAAAATGGTGAAGCTCGGCAAGTCATTATCAAACTTGCAGCTCAATTTCTTGCTACCTGGGCTTTTCTCTGCCAAATTCCTCTAACCCCGCCTCCTTAAAAAAATTGCTATAGAAGCCTTTTATGACGTCAGGTTTAAAACCGGAGCTCGCGTTCAGCTGCTGTGCCTGTAAAAGTATATATATCTTTGGAACTTCTTTTCCAATAAAACTGCGTTCCATCGACTGAAAGTCACATCGACGCGGTGAGGAATCCATGTCCGCGTTACATGTGACACGCATGTATATAGACAATCATGTTTGACTATAGGAGGGGGGGTCTCTGGCAGCAAAACAAAAAAAGGATTAAAAAGTGAAAGTTTTTTTTTTCCCTTCACCACCAAAACGCAGCCACGTGGCAACCGATGGGGGAACACCGGAATAAAGCCAACGTTGATAGGACCACGTCTATGAACGTTCTAGAAGGCTAGTCACGTGGCTTCGCGTGAGGTCACCCCTAGAATTCTTTGCTATTTATTAACCTTTTCATTGCCAGTGAAATGTACCATACCAACTCCTTTTAGCAGAGATGACATTTTTCCTGTGGGAATTATACTAATATCTTTAGAGGAACTTATCCCTAAAAAAAAAAAACTTCTTTGTCCGCGTTACATGTGACACGCATGTATATAGACAATCATGTTTGACTATAGGAGGGGGGGTCTCTGGCAGCAAAACAAAAAAAGGATTAAAAAGTGAAAGTTTTTTTTTTCCCTTCACCACCAAAACGCAGCCACGTGGCAACCGATGGGGGAACACCGGAATAAAGCCAACGTTGATAGGACCACGTCTATGAACGTTCTAGAAGGCTAGTCACGTGGCTTCGCGTGAGGTCACCCCTAGAATTCTTTGCTATTTATTAACCTTTTCATTGCCAGTGAAATGTACCATACCAACTCCTTTTAGCAGAGATGACATTTTTCCTGTGGGAATTATACTAATATCTTTAGAGGAACTTATCCCTAAAAAAAAAAAACTTCTTGTGTACAAGGAGGTTATTTTTTTGTATTGTTATTTATGGTGCTTGGAGTAAAATAAAAGTGACACTATGCATTTTGTCCCTTCCTGTGCACCACACCAAGCAGATGTAAACCCAAAATCACCATCATCTCATCTGCAGCATGTCTGTCTGTGAAGGTTTCTCATTCATCCAGGTCAGGATACATCTGTAAAAATCAAAGCAACTGGGCATGCTGTAATTCTCTTAGTCAAGACAACAGAAGGGTAACAGTGCCGTGTCAGATTCCTCGCATCACCTTTCATCATCTCGTGGAGTCAATGCCAAGAAGAATCGCCGCAGTATTGAAGGCAAAAGGCGGCCCAACAAAAGTACTGATGGGGTGCTCATAATAATCTGGCCACTCAGTGTGCGTAGTGAATGCGAATTAAAGGAGAACCCTGAGGGGGGAGGGGGGGGGTGCTTTTCACTCACCTCATAGTTCTAGCCGACCTGTGACAATGAGACTGTCACAGGTCGGCTCAGTAGATCGGGAAGTGAGCTGACTGGCGGAACGGGGAGGGGGCGGGTACAGCTGGCTCTGCCTCTAGATAGGCAGAGCCAGCTGTCACTCACGCAGCTGGGCGGATCCTGGCGTCTAAGTCGGGATCCGCTCTGGCGTCTCAGTATACCGCGAGCTGTAGCTCCCTATATACTGAGCTTAGGGTGATGGGAGGACGCTAGTTTGTGTCCTCCCGATACCCTAAGGAGAACTATGGGGAAAAACACTGACCCCATAGTTCTCCTTTAACCCTTGCATTGGACCTATCCCCACAATGAAGGCTTAATGGCCTATGGCCTATGGTAGTGTTGGCAAACCTCCGAGCCCGAGTGCCAAAACTGGATCACTAAGCCAACTTAGGTGTCTCAAAGTGCCAACCGAAGCACTGAGACCCGAATACTGATGATTTCAGAACACTCCATATGACGGTCTGAACTAATGATGTGCTTAAATCTTTAGAAGAAAGATACAATACAAGAGGTATTCAACTCCACCGCAGAGTGACGTGTACCTGTGTGCTGTGTTAATGGGTGACGTGTTCCATTGCAGTGTGCTACTAAGGTGCATGTCACACAGCACACTGCAAGCGAACAGTCTATCTACAGCTTGGAGTCAGCGGTGGAGCACCAGGGCCCAGTACAACTGTGACCCTGGTAGTTCTGCCACTGACTCCAACCTGCAGAGGAACTAATCTCAGCAATACATTACACAGCAATGCAGAATACCACCGGCTATAGAGGACTACATATCCCAGCAATACATTATACAGCAATGCAGAATACCACCGGCTATAGAGGACTACATATCCCAGCAATACATTATACAGCAATGCAGAATACCACCGGCTATAGAGGACTACATATCCCAGCAATACATTATACAGCAATGCAGAATACCACCGGCTATAGAGGACTACATATCCCAGCAATACATTATACAGCAATGCAGAATACCACCGGCTATAGAGGACTACATATCCCAGCAATACATTATACAGCAATGCAGAATACCACCGGCTATAGAGGACTACATATCCCAGCAATACATTATACAGCAATGCAGAATACCACCGGCTATAGAGGACTACATATCCCAGCAATACATTATACAGCAATGCAGAATACCACCGGCTATAGAGGACTACATATCCCAGCAATACATTATACAGCAATGCAGAATACCACCGGCTATAGAGGACTACATATCCCAGCAATACATTATACAGCAATGCAGAATACCACCGGCTATAGAGGACTACATATCCCAGCAATACATTATACAGCAATGCAGAATACCACCGGCTATAGAGGACTACATATCCCAGCAATACATTATACAGCAATGCAGAATACCACCGGCTATAGAGGACTACATATCCCAGCAATACATTATACAGCAATGCAGAATACCACCGGCTATAGAGGACTACATATCCCAGCAATACATTATACAGCAATGCAGAATACCACCGGCTATAGAGGACTACATATCCCAGCAATACATTATACAGCAATGCAGAATACCACCGGCTATAGAGGACTACATATCCCAGCAATACATTATACAGCAATGCAGAATACCACCGGCTATAGAGGACTACATATCCCAGCAATACATTATACAGCAATGCAGAATACCACCGGCTATAGAGGACTACATATCCCAGCAATACATTATACAGCAATGCAGAATACCACCGGCTATAGAGGACTACATATCCCAGCAATACATTATACAGCAATGCAGAATACCACCGGCTATAGAGGACTACATATCCCAGCAATACATTATACAGCAATGCAGAATACCACCGGCTATAGAGGACTACATATCCCAGCAATACATTATACAGCAATGCAGAATACCACCGGCTATAGAGGACTACATATCCCAGCAATACATTATACAGCAATGCAGAATACCACCGGCTATAGAGGACTACATATCCCAGCAATACATTATACAGCAATGCAGAATACCACCGGCTATAGAGGACTACATATCCCAGCAATACATTATACAGCAATGCAGAATACCACCGGCTATAGAGGACTACATATCCCAGCAATACATTATACAGCAATGCAGAATACCACCGGCTATAGAGGACTACATATCCCAGCAATACATTATACAGCAATGCAGAATACCACCGGCTATAGAGGACTACATATCCCAGCAATACATTATACAGCAATGCAGAAGAATATAAGGCTGCATACTCTGTTGCTCCGGGGTGACCTGATGTCTCTGGAGGGCTGTGTGGGCTCTTAGGTGAGCTGTGCAGGCTCTCAGGGGGGTTGTGCAGTTATCACGGGGGCTGCACGGCTCTCGGGGGCTGTGTGGACTCGGGGGGGAGGGGGCAGTGCGGGTCCCGAATTTAAAAAAATACATCCGACATTCCCGGATTGCCTCGGTATGTGATCCGGGCCGGTCACAATCGGGCAGCAGCGGCCTCTAAACAGGCATATTAGACGGCCGCTCACTGGGGCCTCTCCGGGTCCTAACGAGGGGGAAGCGGTCTAATATGCCCATTTAGAGGCTGCCTTTCCCTGATTGTGACCGGCCCGGATTGCACACCAAAGCGATCTGATCTATTTTCTGAGGTGGCCCCCTATGTTCATCCGAACCTGGGCTCGGGTGCCAGCAGAGAGGGCCCGGCATGACTACCAAAGGTTTGCCACCACTGGTCTAGGGTCCAAAATGAAAAAAAGATATAGTCACCTGATCCTCATCCGGCCGCAGCAGTCTCTTGTCCCCTGGGCTCTAGCGGTCTAATGGCCCGTGATGTCATCATGCCTGTACAGTTCATTGGGTGCTGAGGAACATACCACAGTTGGATCAGCGGGGTGGACAGGTAAGCGATCACTAACGTCGGGCAAAAGATCATGTTTTTATATTAGACCCTAGACCAGGAGTGGGCAACTCCGGCCCGCCAGCTGTCGTGGAACTACAAGCCCCACGAGGCATTGCAAGACTGACAGTTACAGGCGTGACTCCCAGAGGCCTGCTGGGATTTGTAGTTAAAGCACAGCTGGAGCTGCCCTAAACCAAAACGAGCACTTAACCCCGTGCAGTGCGGGGGTAGCTCCACTCCAAGGGTTAATTTTAACTGCCCGGAGTTCTTCTTTAAGGTTTAGAATGTCTGTTGTGCGTTTACTGCTGGCAAATCCAAAGCCGCCACCCCAAGAGGAGTAGCTGGAATGTCTTACAATGACAGCACCAGGCACATCGGTGACCTAGAATAATGCGTATTTTGTGTCCTGCCGGTTACTGGAACCCCCCCTCCATTGATGCCGGATCCTCCCCATGCTGCAAGGATGAGAGGCTGCGTCTGTGAAGGATCGGACCGTTTGCCCCCGCCCCTTCCTGTCCCCTCCTCCACTCACAAATCTGCATTGTTTTCTCCGGGTGCAAGGCGTCTTGTGAATGGAGGAATGACAGGGCTGCCCCTTCCTCCATTCACAGATCGCCGTGTATTCTGGGAAAACATTCCAAGGACTTCTGTGAAGGGGGAGGGGCCAAAGGCAGAATGGGACGATACCCGCTATGGGGGGAGTACCCGCTATAGGCAGTACCTGGCACCCAGGAGGGCCCGGGATTCACCTTATTGGGGGTATTTTATGTGGCTGGTGCTGCGTACCCGACATTCGTTTTTCCTGGAGTTCAGGCTGCAGCACCTGTCGGGGCCCATTCACACCGAAGAGATCCATTGCGGTGCGGTAATGCACATGTGCTCATGCTCATTATCGCGCATATCATTAGCATATTGATGAGGGGGGAGGGATAGAAGCCGGCAATGCAAATTATAAGCAGATTAAACTTCAGCTTTAAATACTACGCGAGCTCGCAGGGACCGATCAGAGGCGGCGAGTATTTCATACGGCCGATCATTCCATTTTCCCGTCACGAGGACGGCGGACGCACAAACGCGATAATTCTATCCGGGATCTGATCACATCTCCAGGCGGGAAGTCGCCCATTCGGGGTTAATACAATTGGGCCAGAAGGAGAGGCCGGTGCCTGTCACATGTCAGCAATGATGTCCCCTCTGCAACCGCCGTACACTGAGGCTTTGTCTGCCAACCGCGTCATGTGACACGCCGGGGAGGGGAGGGGGGGCATTAAGTGGCAACGGCCTGTAATCTGAATTGGGATCATGCAAAAGATCTCAGATAACGAGGAACTCGAGGAAGAGCAACAACAACAGATACCGAGAATGACACCCGGCATACAGGACAAGAGAAGTGGTACTGTGCAGAGTCCATACATACAGAATAAGAACAGATACCGAGAATGACACCCGGCATACAGGACAAGAGAAGTGGTACTGTGCAGAGTCCATACATACAGAATAAGAACAGATACTGAGAATGACACCCGGCATACTGAGAATGACACCCGGCATACAGGACAAGAGAAGTGGTACTGTGCAGAGTCCATACACACAGAGGATATAAAGTGACACTGTGTCCAATGATTGTAAAGAGAACAGAATCGAGAGACTTGTATCCAGTCCGTATAACAGTAGAAGTTGTACTCTGCAATGGGAATATCAAACTTCCAGAAAAAGTAACAACAAATAAAACTCATTTCCTGTATTACAGCTCCCCCAAAAACTCAGACTGCCCCCCTTCTGAAGTGACAGCTCAGCTGCAGACAACAGAAGACTCACCAAGCGACCCCGAAATCTCCCAGTCAGCAACGACTCCTCCGGTCTACGTCCTTCATCTGCCCCGGTCACATGACCCGGTGCCTGCACTCAGGTGTGCTGATCAGTGGCTGGCCTCACCTGTGCTGCACCACCTCCCCCCACCCAATGCTTCTTCCCTTACGCCAGGAGGAGGAGGAGAGGTCTGTATGTACTTCGGGGGGGGGGAATTCTGAAACTGCAATTTTTTTTTGGGGGGGGCGAGTTCCATTTATATATTTGTGGTGCATTAGGGCGGCCCATCCAAAATGAACGGGTTTCCATGCACCCTAAAATCCCACGTGACCCTCTTCTAATGGCGCTCTACAATGCACGCGTGCCGCCCCGGTGTGTTGGGGTTCCGTTCAAAATGAATGACGTCAAAACGCAACGTGTGAATGAAAAATACCTGTGTGAAACAGCCATGATGGAAGCAGCATACTGATCATGAAGCTGAATCATAGCCTCCGTGCCGCAGCCTGTGTGCTCTGTGATTGGCTGCTTGCATCGCTATAGTAAGAGAAATAGGGGGGTGTTTGCTATTGCTGACCCCCTTACATGAGGCCGGGTTATCCTGTTGCAGCAAACGTGCGTTGGCGCATCGTTTTCTTTTCTTTACGGCACCGCGTACATTCCCAAACAAGGGTCAGGTGCGATTTTTGGCCCCACTGTGTGACCAAGAAAGGAATGGCGCCGCCCTAATGCAACATAGTAACGCCCGTGCGTTAACAAAGTGGGGAGGAGATTTCCTTTCACTTCCTGACCTGCAGATGCAACAGGAAGTGAAAGGAAATCCCTGCTTAGCCAGTTGTCACCGTTGAAACAGGTGTCACAGACCGAAGATGCCCCTTGAGCACTTGTTTTGGTGACAACCGTAATACTGGATTCCCATCATTTCCTGTCTCAGTGACAAGATGACGCATGTGCACTTCTGCATTCAGCCAATTCATATGACTAGGCCGGCCATGCACCACCAGCGTAGCGCAATGTGCGGGGGGGCGTGCACTGCCCCGAGCTGTGTTGTGCTGCAATGCCCATGTGTCACATGAGCATTGTGATTTTAGTGCATTGTGATTTTGCATGTCACCCCAATACACTGAGCCAAAGCACCTGTAAAAGGGGCCCCCAAGGTGTGGCCCTTCATTTGTCCCCAGTGTTCTGAGCTGACCATCTGCCCCATTAATGCCGTTTCCTGTCTTTTATCTATTATCAGTTACTTTTGTTTCTCTGTTTTTATATCAAAGCCTTTCAACTAAAACATTCCTCAGGTTGTAACGTACTTCAGTGATCTTAACAATCATTTTGAATCTTTTTAAATCCCTGGTGATCCCGCCATGAAAGTCCTCGTTCAGACACTTCCTGTTGTAGGGTGACAACGTTCTGCCCGTGTCTCCTAAGTGTGCTCCTGTGTTGTCACCTTGTCACAAAGACCTCCGATGGCAATTTCAACACACAGACGTGGTCCACTGTAATTCGGGTAAACCTACATTGAAAGTCATTTAGCTACTAGAAACCAAAACACGGGCTACCTTCCAAGGTCCCACACAATAGATACCTACACGTGGCCCCTGGGCTGCAGGTTGGGCACCAGGGGGCTTGAAGACACGACCTTAGTGACACTTCTACAGTAAATATATTGAATTGTAATGTAAAAATCCCCCTTTTTTTTTTTTTGTGTGGAAAGGAGATCTCTCCGCCAATGTAAGCAGGAGGAAGGTGGGACTGTTTCCAGAAGTCCCCTTTTATCGGCACCGCTATCACCGCCCGCACAGAATTCCAGGGACCGGATGCGCGCCCCGTTTTGGATGGGTTGCCGTACAAACATGCAGGAGGTCATCGCTGGGTTGGAGAAGTTCACCTTTGACCTGGAGAAGGATGTGGAAGGTCAGAGGGGGTCCTTTGCGCTGCCCTTCCCTGGCATGGACAGTGAGTATGATGTGTGGCCAGCTTGGCGTGTCGAGGGTTAAAGGAGAGTCCGCTAATGTGGGATGCTCATTAAAAATGCATTGCAGCCAATGGACAGGAGGACTGGG